TATTTTGGGCCGATGCTAGGGCTAGAATGGCTTATGGCTACTTTGGTGATGCTATTGTATTTGATATGACCTGCAAGAAGAATAAGCGAATGGTGCCTTTTGCTGCTTTCTCAGGAATTAATCATCATAGGCAGCTTATTGTGTTTGGTTGTGCTTTCATGACTGATGAGAATGAAGCTTCATTTATTTGGTTGTTTGAGACATGGCTTTGTTTGATGAGCGGACGTTGTCCAGTTTCTTTTGTTACTCCATTTAATGACGTTATTGGCTCTGCTGCTGCAAAGGTTTTTCCTAACGTCCAACACCGTTTTTGCCAAAGAGACGTATTCCGGAAATGCAAGGAAAATCTTTCAGATGTTTACTCACAGTATGCTTCATTCAAGAGTGAGTTTAAGAAGTGCGTCAATGAACCTGAAAGCAGTAGAGAGTTTGAGTTGGCTTGGAGGTTGCTTCTAGACAGATATGGACTGGAGGGAAACATGTGGTTAAAATCGCTTTATAATGTACGCCAAAAGTGGGTTCCTGCATATCTTAGAGGCACTTTTTATGCAGAGATACCTGGGGGCTTGTTGAAATCTGAAACAATGCACAACTTCTTCCAAAGAAATTCTATTACAACAACCACATTGCGGGATCTTGTGTCTCAGTTTGATAAAGCCATGGCTGGGCAGAGTGAAAAGGAAATACATGCTGATTTTGCTATGATTCATTCTAAGCCTGTCATGAAGACTCCATCTCCAATTGAGAAGCAAGCTTCTGAAATATATACTAGAGTGATATTTGACTTAGTTCAAGAAGAGCTTGTTGAGGCATCCAGTTTTTTGATGGATAAAGTTGAGGATGGGATGATTTGCAAATTCCGTGTTACAAAAGTTGATGCTGATAGAGCATATTTTATCGTATATAATGCTTCTGAAAATACCATAAATTGCAGCTGCTCTATGTATGAAACTTGTGGTATATTATGCCGACATGTGTTTAAAGTGTTGATGGTTCTTTGTGCTCTTGCACTTCCATCGGAATATATTTTGAGGAGGTGGACTAGGAATGCTAAGAGTGCTGTTTTATCATATGAAAATTGTGCACAGATCCCGAGCAACAGCTATAGAGCATTTAGCTTGCGGTGCAATGACCTATTTCATGATGCCATTAGGTATGCGGAAGAGGGGGCTACCTCTGTAGTGATCTATAAAGTTGCTAAGGAGGCATTACAGAATGCTTTCAATGAAGTTTTCAGTGCAAAAAGAGGCTCATTTTTCAACATAACCAAGTAAAGGACTTTTTTCCGTTAATTAGGTATTTGATTTCTTGTTTCATTTCCAAACATGGTAATAAAGTAAACAACACGAGTAATGCAGTTATAGGTCCTAGGTTAGATGTTCAAAGTTGTTCTGATCTATGTCTGATATTTGATGCTAGCATCCGAATGTTACATGCACACTATACTTTTAATCCTCTGGGAACAATGCTGAACCCGTGGAGATTTTTTTTGTTCTGGATTCCCTAGAACTGTTTCTTTATTCCAAACTTAAAAGCACTGCAGAAAACATAAAGCAGAGAGGTAGAACAGGAAGGAAATAAGAGAATTATAGCTGTAGAGAATACCGGGCTGTAGGTGTATTATCCTTTACATATTTAGCTACAGAAGAATGAGAGAGTACATATAGTTATAGACATGATAGAAATCTCTAGATAGAATTGGTTACAAGGGTAAAATAGAACTATCGTAAGGAATGTACTTAGTTGAGATTTTGTTGAGCTGTCTGCTTTGGTAGTGTTGGTCTCCTATGTTATTAGGTACAGTTTTGTTATGATCACCCCTCAAGTTGATACTGACTTGTAGAAGTGTCAGCTTTTCAGGAAGAGAAAGGAATTGTGGTGTAGGAAGAGACTGTAAAAATATCGGCAAGCTGGTCAACAGTGGGAATGTAAACTATGTCGCGCTCCTTGGATTGAATATTCTCTTTTATAAAGTGATTGTCAATTTCAATATGCATGCAAGACGGGATTATGAGCTATGACAAATGCCGATGTATTGTTACAGTGGATTAATGTCGGCTGTGTAACATGAATTTGGAACTCCTGTAAAAGTCTTCGGAGCCAAATGACATTTGTGACGGGAGTTGGCCCCTATAAGTTGTTTCTTAACTTGCTAGGAGAGAAGATTGCTGTCGAGAAAAGAACAATAGTTTGTGGTGGATTGTTGGTCCCTTGAATTATTAGCCCAGTTGGAATCTAAATAGTTGCGAAGAATAAGCTGACCTGATTGTACAGGATGTCTAAAATTCAGAGTCCCTTTAATTTTTATGAGTAGATTCTTTAGCTGTTGAAATTATAGACAATAGGGATTTTGAAGGTGCTGAGATAGACTGTTGTCAACAAAGGTGATGTCGGGTTTGGTAATAGTCAGGTATTGTTGGGAGTCAAGTATGCCACCATACAATGAGAAGTTCAGAAACGGTTGTTGGTGCTCAGAAGAAGTATTGTTGATGGGAGATAATGACTTAGGAGTGGACTTGCGTTCTGTCATACCTGCTCTAGTGAGAATCCCTGATGCATAATGAGTCTGAGATAATGGAGTTATTTTATATTACTAGAATATCATCTACATACAACAATAATATATGGAGATAGAGTTGTGATGGTATAGGAGTAAGGAAGGCTCAACTTGGCTTCTCTGAAAATTGAATTTGAGAAGATGAGATGTGAAAGTATTGAACTACCCTCATGGACCTTATTTTAAGCCATAGGTGGCCTTTTTGAGAAGACACACATGTTGAGGGTATTGTAAGCTCAGGTGTTCTGACGGTTGACGCATATAAATTGTTTTCTTGAGGTCACCATGAAGGAAAGCGTTGGAAACATCCAATTGAAGAACTGTCCATTGTTGGTATAGAGAGATCGCAAGGAGAAGTCTTATTGTTGGTTGCTTGGCAATTGGATTGAGTTTTTGTATAATGGAGAGCATATTCTTGCTGATACACTTGGGCCAGCAATCGAGTTTTGTTCCTCGCAATGGTTCCGTCAGCTCGACGTTTAATCTTGTATGTCTATTTGTTTCGAAGGATTGGCTGATTGGAAGGAGGAACTAGTATCCATGCACTGTGGTTGTGGTGGGCCTGAAATTCCTCATGCATTGCTTGTTTCCAGTGACGATGTTGGTTGACATCTTTGAATGATACTGGTTTGGTTTCATTGCTGATGGAGTGGAGGAGATAAAATATTCGCTTAGGCTTGAGTGATCTTGTTTTGGATCTTGTGATCATATGATGAGCAGGTTGAGCATTGGAGACATTTGTGACAGTTTGCGAACCAGGAGGTGAGGTTGCTGCTGTGATTTATATAGGCAAAGTGTTTATGTTTTCTGGTGAGAATGGACTGAAACGGTTTTCTGGTGAGGATGGACTGAAACGTGTAGTTGAGCTTTCTTTTTGCTGTATTGTTGGAGCAGGACTTAGGGAGGTAGTGGTAGGTAGTAAAGTGAGAGGGAATGAGGTGACATTTGGGGTTGTGGGCTGTAATTTGGACGTGTAGTTGAGCTTTCTTTTTGCTGTATTGTTGGAGTAGGACTTAGGGAGGTTGTGGTAGGTAGTAAAGTGGGAGGGAATGAGGTGACATTTGGGGATGTGGGCTGTAATTTGAATTGAGAGTGTTTAAAGGGGAAGAACATTAAACTAAGCATGTCTTGATACAAGAACTTGACTGTTTTCAACTTGTGAATATTTGTAGTCTTTTGTGTTCTCAAGATAGCCAATGATTACACATTGTGCTGAACTTTGATCGAATTTGGTGCGATGTGATGCTAAAACTACAGTAAATACTTGAAAAAAAAAATGCTTTGCGATCTGTTTAGTCTAATGGAGATTATATAGAAGCTGATAAGGTAATCTGATA